CTTACTGACAACGGTGAAATGGCTCTAAATTTGTACAGACAATTCAAGAATTAAACTCCACATCATTACTTACAACTGAACGATGGCTCCAAATTTTCACTGACAATTCAAGTTTTGAACACCACATCGTTCCTGACAACTGTGAGATGGCTCTAAATTTGCACTGACAATTCAAGTATTAAACTCCACATTGTTACTGACAACTGAACGATGGTTCAAAATTTGCACTGACAATTCAAGGTTTTAACTCCACATCCTTACTGACAACTGTGAGATGGCTCCATATTTGCACTGACAATTCATGTTTTGAACTCTGCATCCTTCTGGCAACTGTGAGATGGCTCTAAATTTGCACTGACAATTTACGTATTAACCTCCACATCCTTCTGACAACTGAACGATGGCTCAAATTTGCACTGATAAATCATGTTTTGAACGCCACATCCTTACTGACAACTGAGAGATGGCTCCAAATTTGCACCGATAAATCATTTTTTGAACTCCACATCGTTACTGACAACTGAACGATAGCTCCAAATTTGCAATGACAATTCAAGTTTTGAACTCCAGATCCTTCCGACAACTGTGAGATTGCTCTAAATTTGCACTGACGATTCAAGTTTTAAACTCCACCCCGTTACTGACAACTGAACAATGGTTCCAAATTTGCACTGACAATTTAAGTTTTTGAACTTTCCATCCTTACTGACAACTGAATTGCACTGACAATTCACGTTTTGAACTCCTAGTCCATACCGACAACTGAACGATGACTCCAAATTTGCACTGGTAAATCATGTTTTGAACTCCACATCCTTACTTACAACTGAGAGAAGGCTCCAAATTTTCTCTGACAAATCATGTTTCAATCTCAACATCCTTATTTACAACTGACAGATGATGCCAAATTTTATCAGACCAGTCATGTTTTGATCTCAACATCTCAGAGGCCAAATTAATTTTATACTAGAGACGAAATGTCCGACGCGAAATGTATATAAGGAGACATTTTATCCATCTGAAACATTTGACAGATGGTTCCAAATTTAAACTCACAAGTCATGTTTTGATTTCAACATCCGAACTGACAGCTAACGAATGATTCCAAATTTTAACTAGCAAATCATGTTTTGATCTCAGTATCCTTAATGACAAGTAGCAAGTGATCGCAATTTTTACTGGAAAATTAACAAATTGATGTCAGTTTTTTATGCATCTGTCCTCTTATTGATGATAAATTACGTCATAACATTGTCAAAGTGGCTGTGTAGCCAATGGCCGGGAATAAATAAGGGGAAAAGACGCCGTAAACTTGCCGTAAACAAAGATAAGTGAAGTTTTTTCAAAATGACGCGAACATTGTCAATAGCTTTTCTCGCTTTTTGATTGGGTACTTAAAAAAGTCCATAAAATCTCATTGGTTAAAAAGTTGACAGTTTGACAGCTGAAAGTTGAACTTGAAAGCTTGCATAAATTACAATTTTATCCGTCTGTACTCTTATTGATGATAAAAATGAGCCAATCAGCGCGAAAGAAATTATACAGTTATTGTAAAATTGTGTTTTGATCTGGACATTCTTACTGACAATAGTGACAGATTATTCCAAATTGTAACTGACAATTCATGTTTGATCTCAACTGACAACTCGTCCGTGTTGATCACTAACAGATATTCATATTTCATTCGCTTTATCCGTACCGGGACATGACTGATGGATGGCTTGGAAGTCACTGACTGGCCAGTCCCGTTTCGATCTCAGAAGCATAGTGAACAATAATATTGTCAGATGACTTGAAATTTTAACTAACACCTTGTCTCGATCACTTCATCCTTAGTGACAACTGACAAATTACCCCAAGTTTTAACTTATGCCGTTCATATTTTGATCTTGGCATGTTTTTCTCCCAACTTACAGATCTCTCCAAATAATTGTAATTGAGAAATCATGTTTAANCCAAAAAATTGTAATTGAGAAATCATGTTTAAAAAGTGAGGTTCTGTTGACAACAACTATCAATTGACTCCACATTTTACAGACAAATCATGCTTTTATCTCGGTATCCTTCTTACACCTAACAGATGACCTCAAATTGTAACTGAGAAATCAGCTACTGATCTAGGCATATTTCTTTAAAGACGGATTCCGCTCAAAATTCGAGCAATAAGTGCAAAAATTATTTACTAAAAATCTACGCAATGCATGGTAACTTTTTTAATACTATTTAAAACATCTCACTTTAAATAATTTCTCTAAGTGACCCTGCGATTAAATTCTCGAGCATTGCCGAAAAAGTCAATGTCAAACCTCGTAAGAATGCTCAATGCGTGTATCATTGTGTTTTCAACTAACGCGAAATGTGCGTTTTAATTGAGATACGGAGAACTTCAAGTTTTCGCGGGGTCAGCTTGAGAGCTTTAGTCTCGGTAAGTTCTTTTTACCTTTATTCAAAACATTACCATGCTATGAGGTTTTTTGGTAGCTTTATTTTTGCCACTATTGCCCGAATGTTCTGCGGAAATCATCTAAACAAGTGATGGCTCACAAAATCAGGGGGAAAGCAGAGCTTTTTTTACTTGTTTCCAAATGAGAAAATACGCTTTTTGCTGAACGTTTTTTGGGGTATGGCGAAAGACAAACTGGTTGGCAAATATCAGCTGGACTGTGGAATTCATGAGACAATAGTGTTAGAACTGGATAATTAACACAGTAGTTAACTGACTTTCTTTTTCAAAGAAGCCGAGCTGAAATTTGTTGGAATATCTTCAAATATTGGGGTCTTATCTCAGTTTTCTTTGAAATGTTCTTCTCGTCACTAGATAGTTTGCTTTATAAGTACGAGGTTGGCAGAGTAAAAGTAAATGGAGAGAATACATTATGTACAACACATTTATTGTAAATATTGTAGACATAAAAGCAATCTTCACCTGGGTTACCGTTTACAAAGTCTACAACTTCATAGAACAACAACAACAACAATAGCAAAAAACAGTTATTGAATCAAACTGTGCTACAGATGGATTGTTGTCATCAATGCTACTACTGTCGTTTCTATTGTTATGTTGGCCCGTGCTATGGTCCAGTAACCAGTCTACAAATTCAATTTTCACCCTCTCTATTTAAAGAAAAACCGAAATCAAGAAGTACATCATAGCCATAGTTACTATAAATAATGTTGAGGTTTTCTGATCCATTAACTTGCAAAAGTGATCGAAATCCAATTGGTCCTTACAAAATCAGTACATTGTCAAGAAAGCGAGTGATGAGAATAAAGACAATCAACAGTACGGGAATTCTGTAGCCGATGTATATGGGATAGAATGAAGAAAGCTTCACGTAGTTCCAAAGAAAGTACAAATGCAATACAAAGCTTCAGTATAATATATTTATATCAAACATTTTTGTTTTCTTTCTTTCTTTCTTTCAGACAATTGAGGGAAGATAAAGGCAAAGACAAAGACAAACACTCGAGGCAATATTAAGAAGACAGGACACTTAGAAAAAGACATAGTATGCAAGGGACAAAAGTAAGACAGATTGAGAGATTGAGAGATTGAGAGTTTTTTTTCAAACCAAAAAGTAGGACGTGTAAGGCTGGACTAAACGTTAGGATCGCGATGAACTGACCCGAAAGATGATTTACAATTACGTTTTGTAGAAAATGTGTTGTCAGCTTTGCTTTACAAATTTTAATCCAGTTTTCATCTTTTTG